CGGGATTCTGAGAGGTATGACGATGCTTCAGTAGTAAATAACATGGCTGTGATTGAAACAAAAAGTAAGAGTTTTGTACATAAATAAATGTAGATTTTTGTATCTAAAAAAAAAAAGACATCATCCGAAAAAAATTCTTTGTCCGTTTTTTCCCCGAAAACAGTGATATAAGTGAAGTAAGTTAAGATCAATTTTTACGCCTTTTAGGCGCATCGGGTATATTAGAAGAACACTCATATTTTTGCAGACCAGTCGGCACTATGTGGGTAATGTGGTCAGCATTACGCCGACCGTCTTTACTTCTCCACGACATTCATCCTGGTATTTATTTTAGGCTGGTTCAACCTGCGAAAAACCCATAGTAATATACACACACATACATGGAGATAGCCGCACAAACGCTCAGTCAAACATGTGTTGTCGTCATCATCATCAAGTGCAGTCTGAGATCATGCCTGTCTGCAATCTGCGATCCGTTAACTGCGTGTATCAGTTCGTGTGCTGACCACGTTCCATGCCATGACAAAAGGTTATCAAGAATTTTCTCGCGCTGTTTTCCTTTGTCTCTCTTTCCACAGATATCTCAAGTGGTCGCAAAATTTTCCAGTTTCTTTTTTCTCTTTCTGTTGTTTGTGATAAGTTGTATGCACTCGCGCGCGCACACACACACCACACAAATATGCGCACACGGTGATACCGCGCAATACAAAAACATGTGACATTTCATGTACAAACACAACTAATTTAGATAATTCTTTTTTTTTTTTTTTTTTAGATGGCTATGTTAATGAATTGAAATTGGGATGCTTTTAAATAGAAACTAACATGCGCGCACACACACACACACACACACACACACACACACACACGCACACACAAAACGTGTCCAGATTTGGCGGTTATATTGAATGTTTTTTTTTTCTACAAAACAAATCCTAGTCGGAGATGATTGAAGTTTTTACGGTAAGCGTGATTAACTGATTGGGCAGGAATGAATGGATATTTAGAGAGACAGTGTTGGTTTCTTCAATTGAATATTCAAGATCTTTTTTATGGGGAAAGGTATTGTTGGATGATTGGGCTTCATGGTAGAGATTGGCTCCCAGTGAGGAAGGAGTGGTGGGAACAATGAAAGAACAGAACACTGCAGATGTAGGACATAGGAATTGAATGATGTGGGGGCAGACGTGTGTGATTAAAGAGTGATGTGGAAAAGTGACAAGAGCAATCAATGCTGGCAACAGTAAGCAATACCAGCACATTTTTTTTTCTATCGAAGGAAAATTAGGACTTTGATTGCTGATGTTATTTCTTGCGATTTTTCTGTGACTTCGTGTACTGTTGCTATTTCTTCTTCTTCTTCTTCTTCTTCTTCTTCTTCTTCTTTTTCTTCTTCTTCTTCTTCTTCTTCTTCTTCTTCTTCTTCTTCTTCTTCTTCTTCTTCTTCTTCTTCTTCTTCTTCTTCTTCTTCTTCTTCTTCTTCTTCTTCTTCTTCTTCTTCTTCTTCTTCTTCTTCTTCTTCCTCTTCTTCTTCTTCTTCTTCTTTTTCTTCTTCTTCTTCTTCTTTATCTTTTTCTTCCTCTTCCGCTTCTTTCTTTTCTTGTATTTCATCATCATTGTCATTTTTTTTTCACTTTTATGTCCTTACTTCTTCTTGTTTTTTCCTTCCATAACCTCCTCTTATTCACAGTACTTTTAATTGTTGTGTGTATTTTCGCTTGTTTTCTTATCTCTCACCTCCCATGTGTGTCTGTCTCCTGCCCTCCGACTTGCAGAGTTTCCCACAATACTCAAATTATATTAGCAAACTATTTCTAATTAACTGTCACTTTAAACACCTTCTTCAATTATTCCTCTTGCCAGACACCATCCTCCAGACACTTCTTCCACTTCTATGTTTAACCTGCTTTGTGGACTAGTCCAGGGCTTATTGTGTCCATTATCATGCTTATCTTGTCGCTCTCTCATGCAAATTTTAGTGTTTCTAGCTAGGCTGGTCGCTTCTAACCTGTTCATTTGTCTAAAAGCCTTTAAATGCCTTTAAATGAATTGACAATTGTCTGTTTCACTCTGTTGTCGCGTTAAAAGTGCTAATTTAACTCAAACACGACCATATGCGCCCACGCAAAGGAAAAATAGAGTGGTCTGTATGTGTGTGAAGTGTGTGGTGAGGAAAGGGGGAGGGGGGGTGGGGTAGAGTTCCGACCCTTCTTTTTCTTACCGAATATTAACTCTATATAGTCTAATAATACTTTTGACATAATATAAAATTTATACATAAATACATTGTTTCAAAGATAAGTTCTATACCTCCTTTATGGCGTTGTTTAACCTGCTGTAAATTATATTGTTTGGGGAGGGGGCCCTTAAGTCCCACTGACCTCATGTGTTCTAGTCAACCCGAACCCGCATGTTCTAGTGTCCCTGAGACCACATGTTCTAGTGTCCCTGAACCCATATGTTCTAGTCCTCATGAGGACACATGCTCTTGTCCCTGAGCCTACATGTTTTATTGTCCCTGAGCCCACATGTTCTAGTGTCCCTGAGCCCACATGTTCTAGTGCAGCTGAGTACCACTGCAAACTATGGTTATGTTTGTATAGTACTTTTTAAAATTCATGCACACTTTAACGAACATCTCGAAAACTACCGTGCATGGAGTCTTAGATTTTCCATTTCCGTATGTTTCTGTTATTTACAATTGCACAGATGGTATTGTTTTCTTACATCGCCAAATTTCTGTGATCTTTGTTTGACTACCAATTTATGTACACTTAAAACATAGATTATACAGTAACTGACACAGGTGTGGCGATTGTGTGGAAATCCTTTCACGCGTGCAGGGATGTGTGGGGACTATTTTGAAAACCTTACCCTCACTTATGGACTCCCTGACTCAGAAAACATGCTGAGGAAGAGGAGGACACTCATGCTTTGTGCAGAGTGGCATGCTTCGCTTCAGAGGTCACAGGTTAAAAGCATCGTCTGGATCTTATCTCTGGGCATGCCGTTGTGTTGGGAAATAAACATGCGGACAGACTGGCTGGCTATGCGCAACTTGGTGGAATGCCAATGCATGATAAGACCCACATGGTTAGGGCCTTGAAGGAGAATAGTTACAATTTGAGAAGCAAACGTGTCACACAGTCTGGTGAGAGTGATGTAGTAGGGAATGACGAGGGATCTTGCCGATACTTGACGCTCAGAGGAAAGCAAGACGGTCGTATAATCAGAATGCTACTGGCACCAGTGATAGTAGAAATATGCTCTGGCTGTTGAAGATGGGGACGTATGCATCGAGTGAAGTGATGTCGATTCTTGAATCAATTCAACTCACGCAATGAAAAATGCGCAACTCACGGAAGATTCATTCTGTAGATGAACACCTGAAGGTGAAACGGCCATGAAACGGGTCCCACTTTGTACACGCTGCTTGCCTGTCCTCATCTTCCTCTTCATGTTTTCTGAGTCAGTTAGAATCAGGATGTGAGTGTGTGTCTACGGGCCGTGTTCTCTTGCCAACCAGAAGCTGCAATCACCGCCTCCACCTCCATTCTCAAACTGGGTGTTGTGGCATCATATGCTAGGCTCTCCTGCACCATAGGTCGACCATTAGCTTTTGCTAGAAACCCGTAGACACTGCTGATATTAAAACTATCTAATGAAACGATACAGCAGTCAGAAAATACTAGGACTTCTCTGCGACTTTCGGGAAAAGACAGAAAGTAGCTAATTGTTATGTTACTTTGAGAAAATGTACTTACCTGCTACAAACATGCCCACATTTAAATTTACATTTTTTATCTGCATGCTAGTAGAGGCAATCTTCTTACATATAAGTCAAACTATTCGTCCACGTATTTATTCAGCGTCTGATGTGTTTACAGTCTCAACCATCTCTTATTCAGCCATCTCTCTTTTATAGTACAGATAAATATCTGGAGGTAGGACTATTTTCGGAAATAATTGTCACAGAACATTTGAGTCAGTGTAGAGCGTGCTTGCCGGGAAATCTAGATTGAACAATTACTGTAATTCTCTCTGTTAGGTGTTCTTTGTTGTTCTACTCGATACAAATGTGATCGACTGCTAGTCTATTTCAGGGGGTACCGGATGCAAGATTCTGATCCATGTTGTGCCTCAGTATTGTGTTCTCGTGAAGATAATTGCGGACTACGTAAAAACAGTCTCAGGAAAGCAATACGTGAAAATGGAATAAAGTCGTTTCTTGACTTTCTGGTGGGTGGTTGTGGTTATTCGTGGGGGGTGGAGTGTTATCGAGGTGTCGTCCTCATGCTTTGTCCTCTGCCCCTGTCGTAAAGCTTCAAATAGAGGATTGACAAGTAGTTTCACGCCTTTTCCTCGTTGCTTAGCTTTTGTTTATCTGATATTGTATATCTGCCTGTGATTGTGGAGCAGAAAGACTGACACCTGAGCACATACTGCAGTACTGCCCTTACCTCTCCCAGCAAAGACTGTGGATCTGGCCCAGGGGATCCACACTGCGAGAGAAGCTATGGGACTGGTGGCGACCTTAAACGCACAATCCTATTTGTGACCCAGACGGGACTCAATGTTTAGCATGACTGATGTCGAACGCAGAAGAAGAAGAAGGTGGGAAGAGAATGATGCAGCAGTGAGTAACGAATAGATTTGGTTGACACTCAACAGTCAGGTGAACGACAAGAGAAACGTATAACTAGTCTGCTACTGGTACCATAGGAATGGGAATCTTGTGGCTCGCTGTTGAAGATAAGAACGGAGTTCGTACGCCAATGTCCCAAGTGCTATGATATCGCTTATTTACTCAGTTCCACATATTTCAATGAGAGTGCCTCTGTCCCTCGTGTAAGCTTACAGGGTAGATCTCATAATGGGCTTTATGTTTCTTCTTCCAAGAAAAGGAAAGACCAACATTGACTTGAAATACTTGACTTTTGATGACGCAATTATCCAGAAAAACAATTATGAAGATTGTGTACAAATCTTCTCATCCGCAGATTAAAGATGGCAGCTGCATGCTCAGCAAGAAGACGGGCAGTGATGTGGGCAAACTCTACAACCAAGGACTGGCGCAGGTGCATCACTTCGAGATGAAACCTTCCCTAGGTAACTGAACATCTTTACCATTTGTTACAATGTCTGGCTGTGACTCCGTCTGTTCAAGCTTTTTTTTTCAATAACTAATCGACTAAATGTGTCTGTGCATGAGAAAGAGAGATATAGAGAGATAGAAAGAGAGATAAAAATATAGATAGAAAGAGAGAAATATAGAAAAAAAGATAGAAAGAGAGATAGAAAGAGAGAAAGAACGAGAGATAGAAAAAGAGATAGAAAGAGAGCTAGAAAGAGAGATAGAAAGAGACATAGAAAAAGATAGACGGATAGAAAGAGAGATAGAAAAAGAGAAAGAAAGAGATAGAGAGAGATAGAAAGAGAGATAGAAAGAGAAATAGAAAGAGAAATATAAAGAGAGAAAGAAAGAGAGATCGAAAGGGAGATAGAAAGAGAGATAGAAAGAAAGAGAGAAAGAACGAGAGATAGAAAGAGGGATAGAAAAAGATAGATAGAAAGAGAGATAGAAATAGAGATAGAAAGAGAGATAGAAAGTGAGATAGAAAGAGAGAAAGAAAGAGAGATAGATATAAATAGAGAAAGAAAGAGAGATAGAAAGAGAGATAGAAAGCGAGATAGAAGGAAAGAGAGAGAGAAAGAGAGATAGAAAGAGAGATAGAAATAGAGATGGAAATAGAGATAGATGGAGAGATAGAAAGAGAGATAGAAAGAGATAGATAGAAAGAGAGATAGAAAGAGAGATAGAAAGATAGATTGAAAGAGATAGAGATAGAAATAGAGAAAGAAAGGGAGATAGAAACAGGGATAGAAAGAGAGATAGAAAGAGAGATAGAAGGAAAGAGAGATAGAAAGAGAGATAGAAAGAGAGATAGAAATAGAGATGGATATAGAGATAGATGGAGAGATGGAAAGAAAGAGAGATAGAAAGAGAGATAGACAGAAAGATAGAAAGAGAGATGGATAGAAAGAGAGATAGAAACAGATAAACAAACAGTCGAGCAGACACAGAACTAACAAACGATTTTTGTTTCAAAGGGTCACAAAAGAAAGCACCATGACCATATGAAGCAGTGATTAACAGAGAACAGCCAATGACACATCTCTGAGCATCAATAATCCGAGAGAGAGAGAGAGAGAGAGAGAGAGAGAGAGAGAGAGAGAGAGAGAGGAATGAAGAGAGCGACAGAGAGAAAGGCGGAGAAAGAGAGACAGAGACAAACAGAGGAAGGAGAAACAGGAGAAGACTTCCTAGCACTTCATTTTAAAATTCCTTTTTATTGTTGATTACTTCGTTATTCTGTCTTTATCATTGTCAGATGTTTATTATATATTTATAATGTTCCAATGATGGCCCAGGGCGGTTTCAACGTTAAAATTGCTCTCCTTTCAGCGCTTGGTTTTCTTCATTTCAGGCTGCCACATTTTTCTGATTTGTTTGTCATACCTGCCTTTGTGTCTTCCATCATTAGTCATTTCGCTTGCATTTTCTACATCATTCGGTTGTTCGCTTTTCTTGTTTTCTTTTACAGAAATATGAAAATTATTGAGGAAAATCATTATTAGGGAAAGAAAAAGAAAGAAAGAAAGAAAGAAAGAAAGAAAGAAAGAAAGAAAGAAAGAAAGAAAGAAAGAAAGAAAGAAAGAAAGAAAGAAAGAAAGAAAGAAAGAAAGAAAGAAAGAAAGAAAGAAAGAAAGAAAGAAAGAAAGAAAGAAAGAAAGAAAGAAAGAAAGAAAGAAAGAAAGAAAGAAAGAAAGAAAGAAAGAAAGAAAGAAAGAAAAGGAATACAGACAAAAAGACAAGCACACATACAGACAGCAGTGAAATACAGGTACAGATAGATAGACAGACAAACAAATATGTCAAGAAAGGACTTACAAAGACATGAAGCAGAAATAAAAAAAAAAAAGACAACGCGAACACACTCTGACTCCACCCCTGTAACGTGTTGAACCCCTAACCTCTGCAGACTGTGGCGGCTCTATCACTGATCTGGTCGGGGACTTCGCAAGCCCAGGCTGGCCCAGAAACTATTCACACCACCTCAATTGTACCTGGACCGTGTTGGTGCCTGAGCACAAGGTCAGTGTTAGACAATGTGCTGTCTTGCTGCTATGTCTCGTTATATTTTTGTTCCGCGTCTCTTTAATCTGACAGTCTTGGATTGGTCTAGATAACTGTCTTGTCTTTGTCTGTCGATCTTGTCTTGGTCTAGCTTCCTGTCTTGTCTTATTCTAGATCACCTTGTGTTTGTCTAGCTTACAGTCTTGTCTTGGTCTGTCTATCAATCATGTCTTAGTATAGCTCCTGTCGTGTCTTAGTCTAGCACACCATGTGTTGGTCTAGCTGACAATTTTATCTTTGTCTAGCTTACAGTCTTGTCTTGGTCTGTCTATCAATCATGTCTTAGTATAGCTCCTGTCGTGTCTTAGTCTAGCACACCATGTGTTGGTCTAGCTGACAATTTTATCTTTGTCTAGCTTACAGTCTTGTCTTGGTCTGTCTATCAATCATGTCTTAGTATAGCTCCTGTCGTGTCTTAGTCTAGCACATCGTGTGTTGGTCTAGATGACAATTTTATCTTTGTCGAGCTTACTGTCTTGTCAAGTTCTAGCCACTGTCATCTTTTGGTCTAGCTCTCATTCTTGTTTTAGTCTAGTTTACAGTCTTGTCTTGGTCTAGCTCTCAGTCTTGTTTTAGTCTAGTTTACAGTCTTGTCTTGGTCTAGCTCTCAGTCTTGTTTTAGTCTAGTTTACTGTCTTGTCTTGGTCTAGCTCTCAGTCTTGTTTTAGTCTAGTTTACAGTCTTGTCTTGGTCTAGCTCTCAGTCTTGTTTTAGTCTAGTTTACTGTCTTGTCTTGGTCTAGCTCTCAGTCTTGTTTTAGTCTTGTTTACAGTCTTGTCTTGGTCTAGCTCTCAGTCTTGTTTTAGTCTAGTTTACAGTCTTGTCTTGGTCTAGCTCTCAGTCTTGTTTTAGTCTAGTTTACAGTCTTGTCTTGGTCTAGCTCTCAGTCCTGTTTTAGTCTAGTTTACAGTCTTGTCTTGGTCTAGCTCTCAGTCTTGTTTCAGTCTAGTTTACTGTCTTGTCTTGGTCTAGCTCTCAGTCTTGTTTTAGTCTAGTTTACAGTCTTGTCTTGGTCTAGCTCTCAGTCTTGTTTTAGTCTAGTTTACAGTCTTGTCTTGGTCTAGCTCTCAGTCTTGTTTTAGTCTAGTTTACAGTCTTGTCTTGGTCTAGCTCTCAGTCCTGTTTTAGTCTAGTTTACAGTCTTGTCTTGGTCTAGCTCTCAGTCTTGTTTTAGTCTAGTTTACAGTCTTGTCTTGGTCTAGCTCTCAGTCCTGTTTTAGTCTAGTTTACAGTCTTGTCTTGGTCTAGCTCTCAGTCTTGTTTTAGTCTAGTTTACAGTCTTGTCCTCGTCTAGCTCTCAGTCTTGTTTTAGTCTAGTTTACAGTCTTGTCTTGGTCTAGCTCTCAGTCCTGTTTTAGTCTAGTTTACAGTCTTGTCTTGGTCTAGCTCTCAGTCTTGTTTTAGTCTAGTTTACAGTCTTGTCCTCGTCTAGCTCTCAGTCTTGTTTTAGTCTAGTTTACAGTCTTGTCTTGGTCTAGCTCTCAGTCTTGTTTTAGCCTAGTTTACAGTCTTGTCTTGGTCTAGCTCTCAGTCTCTATTCTTGGTTTACCTCACAGTCGTGTGTTGGTCTACCTCACTGTCGTGTCTTTGTCTAGTTTACTGTCATCTGCCTTTTTGTAACTTACTAACTTGTCTACTTATCCCTCGCTGTCGTTAGACTCGCCTACATACACTCTTGTTTTTTGGTATAACCGCCCGTGTCCTGCTCATTGTCTGGTTCTACCAAACTGTCTTGTCCTGCTCATTGTCTGGTTCTACCGAACTGTCTTGTCCTGCTCATTGTCTGGTTCTACCAAACTGTCTTGTCCTGCTCATTGTCTGGTTCTACCAAACTGTCTTGTCCTGCTCATTGTCTGGTTCTACCAAACTGTCTTGTCCTGCTCATTGTCTGGTTCTACCGAACTGTCTTGTCCTGCTCATTGTCTGGTTCTACCGACCTGTCTAGTCTTGTTCACTGTCTGGTTCTACCGTCCTGTCTTGTCTTGCTCACTGTCTGTTTCTACCGACCTGTCTAGTCTTGTTCACTGTCTGGTTCTACCGTCCTGTCTTGTCCTGCTCACTGTCTGGTTCTACCGTCCTGTCTTGTCTTGTTCACTGTCTGGTTCTACCGTCCTGTCTTGTCCTGCTCACTGTCTGGTTCTACCGTCCTGTCTTGTCCTGTTCACTGTCTGGTTCTACCGTCCTGTCTTGTCTTGTTCACTGTCTGGTTCTACCGTCCTGTCTAGTCCTGTTCACTGTCTGGTTCTACCGTCCTGTCTTGTCTTACTCACTGTCTGGTTCTACCGTCCTGTCTTGTCCTGCTCACTGTCTGGTTCTACCGTCCTGTCTTGTCCTGTTCACTGTCTGGTTCTACCGTCCTGTCTTGTCTTGTTCACTGTCTGGTTCTACCGTCCTGTCTAGTCCTGTTTACTGTCTGGTTCTACCGACCTGTCTTGTCTTGTTCACTGTCTGGTTCTACCAAACTGTCTTGTCCTGTTCACTGTCTGGTTCTACCGTCCTGTCTAGTCCTGTTCACTGTCTGGTTCTACCGTCCTGTCTAGTCCTGTTCACTGTCTGGTTCTACCGACCTGTCTTGTCTTGTTCACTGTCTGGTTCTACCGTCCTGTCTAGTCCTGTTCACTGTCTGGTTCTACCAAACTGTCTAGTCCTGCTCACTGTCTGGTTCTACCGACCTGTCTTGTCCTGCTCACTGTCTGGTTCTACCGACCTGTCTTGTCCTGTTCACTGTCTGGTTCTACCGTCCTGTCTAGTCCTGTTCACTGTCTGGTTCTACCAAACTGTCTAGTCCTGCTCACTGTCTGGTTCTACCGACCTGTCTTGTCCTGCTCACTGTCTGGTTCTACCGACCCGTCTTCTCCTGTTTACCTCATGGTGTTCTCCTTTTTATCTCCCTATCTCAAATCTGTTCTCTTTCTGATGCTATTCTAATTCCTTCGTTGTTAGTGGGGTTTTTTTTGTGTGTGTGTGTGTCTTTCTGCATCACTGACTACTACTTACCTTTATCTCATTGTCTGAAGTTCTGTTTTACCTCAATTTTTCTCTTTTTCTACATCATTTATCTTCGATTTCTTGAATTCTGCCTGACTGCTCACAAAAACCATTCTTCTATTATTAGTCCTTTAGTTCACGCTATATTGGCATTATTTCTTTCACGAAAACATTCTCATGTCAACATTGTTTTGTTAATACTATTATCTTTCATCTGGAATCTAATATAATCCAGAGATTCTGTATTTTTAAACAACTTTTGTTGTCCACGTCATTTCCGTTTCAGAAGTGTTCATTGTTTTCCGTGTTTCCATATATTCTTACTTTTAATTCTGTTATCTGCCCATCAGTTGTCTTTTGTTTCTTTGTTTTCTTGGTCTTCTTTGCCACGGTTCTCTGCTTGCAAAATCCCCATTCACTCGTTTGTCAATCAGCTTATTTGCTGTAATTATATTTTGGTGATCCGTGGAGTTACGCTGAGGCATATACAAAGAACGTCAGATGACTCAGAGGTAAATCTGTGTGCACAAGGGACCTGAATGGTCGTAGACCACGTGGTGGAGCAAAAAGACAATGGAGAGCTAATTATTAATTAGTGGCCATCTCAACATGGAATGCAATTTTGTTTTGGTCTCGGTGATCCTCATCCGAATGGTTACACTTGTGTCACCGAGTGTTTATCGCTCGATGTGATGTCCAGGTGGGGTTACACGACAGTCAGTCAATCGATGGAGAAATAAAACCCAGACAAACCTACAAGCACGTGGTGTCACCTGCTAGAAAGAGAAGGCCAACCAGAAATTATGGGTGGAGGTGGGGGATATCTGCAGCAGTGAACCTCGGGAGCTCGGGATACCTCTGGATGCTTCATGAACCACAGAGCTCGGGATACTGAGTGAACCTCAGAGGCTCGGAATACTGAGTGAACCTCAGAGGCTCGGAATACTGAGTGAACCTCAGAAGCTCGGAATACTGAGTGAACCTTGGGGGTTCAGGATATTGAGTGAACCTCAGGAGCTCGGGATGCTGAGGAACCTCTGGGGCCTGGGATACTGAGTGAACCTCGGGGGCTCGGGATACTGAAGAAGAACAAGTACTTTAAATTAGCCGATTTAAAAAAAAAAACAATCAGCTTTCGACGTCCTCGCTAAATCAAGCAATCAGGGTTTCTGTATGTCTGACAGTATGTCTATGCATTAATTCAGTCACCTACCAGTCTGTCTAAGTACCCTTCATTCTTCTCTTGGTATCTCTTTTGTCTGGTTAAACATATGTCTACCAATGCTTGAAACATTCAGTCTGGGTACATATCTGTGTGCCGGTTTGTTGGCATTTGTCAAAACTTTTTAATATAAGCAGGCTAGTCAGAATTAACGTTGTAGCAATCTATACTTTCAAAGAACTGTTAATTATATTTGTGTTTACACCCCCCCCCCCACCCCTCTCTGCCTCCCGACTTCCTCCCTCGTTTTTTCTTCCACCATTACCTCCTTCTGCATCTCTGCTTCTCTCTATCCCTCTCGTGCTCCCCTTCTCTTTCTCTCTTCTTCGTCCCTTGCCCCCCTCGCTGCTTTCTTCTTTCTCCATCCTTCTCTTTCTCTCCTACCCACCCCCGGGCTCCACTTTACTATTTATCTGCCTACATTGAGAAGTCTGCAAGAAAATATTTTAACAAATACCACAGTCCTCGTCTCTCTCTCTCTCTCTCTCTCTCTCTCTCTCTCTCTCTCTCTCTCTCTCTCTCTCTCTTTTTTTTTTGCTGTGTGTGTGTGTGTGTGTGTTTCTCTGTGTGTGTCTGTCTGTGTGTGTGTGTCTGTCTGTCTGTCTGTTTCTCTCCCCTGCACTTCATCACGTTAACTGCTTACATTAAACTGCCCAGTAAAAAATAGTTCAATCACAACTCTTCCTTACTTCTCCCTGTCCCTCCCTAGTTTCCTTCCCGCTCTTCTTCCTATCTCTTCTTCTACCTCCCTATTCCCCCCTCCCCTCCCCCCTCTCCCACCCATCTCCTCTTCCATCTTTCCAACACTCCACAACTTTAACTGCCTCCATTGAACCGTCTGTAAGAAGATATTTTTAAGCACCGCGAGATATCGACGTTTGTGCGCATGCTCAAATTCCCATGAAGATTTATGTGTCGTCAAACATGAAAACCCATAAATTTCACACCGAAATAAAAATCCATTAATAATATTTTCCACTTCTTATTTTATTCATTTAAGTTTTCCTGTGTATTTCTATATGAGATTCCTATTAAAAATTGTTTACTTTTTAGTTAACGTTAGTTGCATATCCTGTGCAGGATGTTGCAGAACAATCGTCAGCATTTTTTTTTTTTAAGGCTGTTGTGGTTTTTCTTGGCAAATTTACGTCTAGTAGTTTGCCATAGCTTTCTGGAAGGTCAGCTTCTCGATACCACTGTTGAAACCAATGCAAGGTACAAGGACCGAGGCTGGGTTCGAACCTGGCACCCCCGGCATTACAAAGCTCGTAACTTTTTAGAAGCAAGTTTTTTTTGACAACTATTTTTTTTTCTCCCTCCCAATAAAATGTCCAGTCTTGCTGTGTAATATTTGTGTTATAAATCGCGGCAGTGTTCAGCTGTTTGAGTTTGGGCTCCAGTGTGATTCCGCGCGCCTGCAGCCGTGTGTGATAAACACTTGTCTTACACGATACGTTGTTCTCATCTTCTTATTGTTTACATAATACATGTCCTGTGGCAATCGTATTTGTGTCGGTCCACGATCTTCTTCCGTGTACTTTCACCAAAGTTTCTAGGAACGTAGCTCTCCCCCCCCCCTCTCTCTCTCTCTCTCTCTCTCTCTCTCTCTCTCTCTCTCTCTCTCTCTCTCATGCTCAGAATTTTCATGTAATAAATAAATGCTGAAAAACAAGTGCCTACTTGTCGTGGCTTACATTTTCTAGCACTCATAAGGTCGCCACTCCTCCGGTAGGTTCCGGGGCACCATCGAGGCCGAAAAAGAATAAACCCAGTACCCAATGAAAAGCATATCGTAAAGTCGAATAATTATGCGTGTTTCCTGCAAAGACAGAATGCGTCTGCCTGAGACGCAAGGGACCACAAATTCATCTACAGATAAGTCAAAAATGTGAAACCGATGTGCACGCAAAACTCAAATTCTGCAACAGGACTGAATTTCAGAAGGGGACGAACAACCATAATTTTCCGCAGGAGTTTACAACCGGTGAACGCTAGGAAGAAAAAGAAAAGCATAACGCTAGTCCTTGTGGCATTACCTGGCACTATTTTTGTTTTGTTTTGTTTTGGTTCTTATCATAGTACGGTATAGATAGATATCATTGCATTTACTAAAACACACTGTGGAGACTTTCAGTACATTGTTTTGTCCACAGTTTCAATAATATCTTATGTAAGTAGCCGTTTATCAGCTCCTGTTTCTGTTTCCACCAACAACGCCACCTCATATTTAAAGTAACACATCTAACTATACACAGTTTGGCGACTGTTTAGTCAAGCTTTTCGTTATTCTGGTCAGAGCATCTTTCAGAAATTCTTTTTTTTTTTTTAATATTTTTTTGTTTCTCTAGCTAATGAAATCGAACGATTTAAAACAGTAGACGCTGGAGACAAGATAAGCGAAACATTGTCGAAGTATCCATTTCTAAATGTTACACTTGTCACTTAGCACATTACACCGTCATTATCATCATTATTATGTTATCTTATTTCATTCAGATCATTATACTTATCTTATCCACAGCTTGCACCTTACACTATAATCTTTATCATCATCATGTTACCTTCTTTTCAGATCGTTATGTTCACATTTATCCACTTTGACCTGGGCAAGAGACCCGTCAACCCTTGCGACAGTTCCAACGATCGACTGCGCATCACGGAACTGACGTCACAAGGGGATGTGACGTTTTGCGCAAGTCCACCGATGACTACCTACATCAGCCAGACCAACTTTGTGACCTTCAACTTTGTCACTAACGCCCATAGTGACGCCCAGGGGTTCAAGGTCGCCTTTAAAGGAGGTAGACCAACTTTTATAGCTTCTTGCATTTTTTTTTTTTTCGGTCTTATCTTTTCATTCTCGAGCCTGCGTACTCAAATGTGCAACCATTTATAAAATAATGTTCGTTCGTTCATTCGTTTTGTCGAACAACTGTCTCTGCAGTTTTTGTGATAAGTTGAAGGACCCGATCCCGCGTAGACAGCTACCACAAAATCAGAAATAAGCAGTCAAACATTTTAATTTTTTATTGTTATGTTATGAGAAGAAAGAAATCGAAACATTCAGTGATGACAATAGGATTGATTAATCTAAAGAAAGATATAGAAAGACGAAGCCAGATAGTTCTTGACAGCTTTTTATCATACTATGGAGTTGTGTCAGCACACAAACTGATATAAATGTTGTTGAACATCACCAGTTGCGGTCACCAACGGATTCGACAAGGCAGTGCATGATGATGATGATGATGATGATGATGATGATGATAATGATGATGATGATAATGATGATGATGATGATAATGATGATGATGATGATGATGATGATGATGATGATGATGATGATGATGATGATGATAATGATGATGATGATGATGATAATGATGATGATGATGATGATGATGATGATAATGATGATGATAATGATGATGATGATGATGATAATGATGATGATGATTATCATGATGATAATTATGATGATAATAATGATGATGATAATGATGATGATAATGATGATGATAATGATGATGATAATTGGTTTAATACTTAAAACCATGAAAATACCCTGTGTGTCATACCTCACAAGCCTTCCGTCTGTTGTCCACTCCGGCCTGCTACCATAAGATTTATTCTTCTGAGATTTCATTAAACCATACCTTAGTTGACAAGCCAACAGTGAAAATAACAGATACCCAATTGAATCCACACAAATTTATAACTGAGGTACACGTAACTTTTACCTGAGCCTGCATTTCTGCGTGCATTGTACTGTATTATTTTGTAATGTATTGTAATGTATTATATTGTATTGTATTGCATTGTATTGTATTGTATTCTATTGTAACGTATTGTATTGCATTGCATTATATTGTATTGTATTGTATTGTATTGTATTGTATTGTATTCTATTGTAACGTATTGTATTGCACTGTATTGTATTGTATTGTATTGTATTGTATTGTATTGTATTCTATTGTATTGTATTGTATTGTATTCTATTGTATTGTATTGTACTGTATTGTATTGTATTGTATTGTATTGTAATGTATTGTATTGTATTGTATTGTATTGTATTGTATTGTATTGTATTGTATTGTATTGTATTGTATTGTATTGTATTGTAATGTATTGTAATGTATTGTAATGTATTGTATTATAATGTAATAAATTATATTGTATTGTATTGCATTGTATTGTATTGTAATGTATTGCATTGTATTGTACTGTAATGTATTGCATTGTATTGTATTATATTGTATTGTATTGTATTGTAATGTATTGCATTGTATTGTATTATATTGTATTGTATTGTACTGTAATGTATTGTATTGTATTGTAATGTATTGCATTGTATTGTATTATATTGTATTGTATTGTATTGTAATGTATTGTATTGTATTATATTGTATTGTATTGTATTGTATTGTATTGTATTGTATTGTATTGTATTGTATTGTATTGTATTGTACTGTAATGTATTGTATTGTATTGTAATGTATTGCATTGTATTGTATTATATTGTATTGTATTGTATTGTAATGTATTGTATTGTATTGTATTGTATTGTATTGTATTGTATTGTATTGTATTGTACTGTAATGTATTGTATTGTATTGTAATGTATTGCATTGTATTGTATTATATTGTATTGTATTGTATTGTAATGTATTGTATTGTATTGTATTATATTGTATTGCATTGTATTGTATTGTATTGTATTGTAATGTATTGTATTGTATTGTATTGTATTGTATTGTATTGTAATGTATTGTATTGTATTGTAATGTATTGTATTGTATTGTATTGTATTGTATTGTATTGTATTGTATTGTATTGTATTGTATTGTATTGTATTGTATTGTATTGTAATGTATTGTAATGTATTGTAATGTATTGTATTATAATGTAATAAATTATATTGTATTGTATTGCATTGTATTGTATTGTAATGTATTGCATTGTATTGTACTGTAATGTATTGCATTGTATTGTATTATATTGTATTGTATTGTATTGTAATGTATTGCATTGTATTGTATTATATTGTATTGTATTGTACTGTAATGTATTGTATTGTATTGTAATGTATTGCATTGTATTGTATTATATTGTATTGTATTGTATTGTAATGTATTGTATTGTATTATATTGTATTGTATTGTATTGTATTGTATTGTATTGTATTGTATTGTATTGTATTGTATTGTATTGTACTGTAATGTATTGTATTGTATTGTAATGTATTGCATTGTATTGTATTATATTGTATTGTATTGTATTGTAATGTAATGTATTGTATTGTATTGTATTGTATTGTATTGTATTGTATTGTATTGTACTGTAATGTATTGTATTGTATTGTAATGTATTGCATTGTATTGTATTATATTGTATTGTATTGTATTGTAATGTATTGTATTGTATTGTATTATATTGTATTGCATTGTATTGTATTGTATTGTATTGTAATGTATTGTATTGTATTGTATTGTATTGTATTGTATTGTAATGTATTGTATTGTATTGTAATGTATTGTATTGTATTGTATTGTATTGTATTTTATTGCACTCTATTGTATTGTATTGTATCGTATCGTATTTTATTGTATTGTGTTGTATTGTATTGTATTGTATTGAGGGATATCGAAAGTGGCGACGGTGTTAATCGTTATGTCCATTCGAGATTGAACGAAGAGCTGCTAGTTGAATGGTTAGAACTCTGGGCTGGCATTCAAGAGACCACGGTTCGATCGTTGATAAGAAATGGATAGTTCATTTTTTTTTTCGGGAAAAAAATAAAGATTATAACCTGCACAGTTCGTGGCTACTACACTAGCCATGCGACCCCAAATCCTCAGGCTCATGAGCTCCATGCCCTGCACCGCTAGGTAGCTTTATGTTATTGTTGTGACTAGGTTTTTTGTACGCTATGTAAAATAGCTTAGCATTGCACGCCACCAAATGCCATGAAAACGACTTGTCACATATCGCTCCTGTCACATATCGCTCCTGTCACATATCGCTCAAGTCACAAGCCTGATTTCAGCATTTCTCCTTAAGAGCCAACAGCACTCTGAAATAATTATGTTGAGTCGTTGGCTCGTATTGGTCTAAGGGATATCCCGTGGCCAATATACGCTCAACTTATTTCAGGAGTAGGGCAACTCAAGCGTTGGCACTACAAAATATATAATTTTTCTAGGCACACTTGGCTGGACACCCCCACTACTATAAAAAGGTAGCCCCCAGGTTATGATAGTATACTATCATAACCATGTTAACACAGATGAAGATTATTACTTGAACATACATGTAATTTAGACCGCTAAGAACAATGAATGAGTGACACTCCAGTCAATAGTGAAACTTTAGAAATACTCTAATAAGTTTAACACATACATTATATAAGCATCAACAAAGAACTTCAAGAGCCCAGAGTGATATGAAGGACCAAAACTTCAAACTTGATCTGACTGAACGTGTATGAATGTTCCAAAGTCTGCCTAGATCATCCTTATGATGAGTGTGGACATTTAATAGTGAAGCCTGGCAATAAACCCATTATTGTCAACACTTATCTTAATCCCCGGTTTCTTGAACTGGTTGGATGTTCAGTCACTCTGTTGTTACGTTCAAGACAGTCCCACACTAGACACTCAAACACTGGAGATACACCCAAGCTCCTGGAGAGGATCTCAGGTACCAAGTCAAACACTTGAGGCACAAACAAACTGCCGGATAAATGATGGTGAAGGTACAACACCCATAATGTTGTCTGTAGACCAACTGGAGGATTTCATTAAATGATGACCACAATTAGGTTCACAATCTGATGCCCACCACTGGCTTAGACATAGGTGACTTCCTTGTAGGTGGTTTCGTGGACTGCTGATTCACTGCCTGGCCTCCAAGGAGATATCATCCTGTATCAAGAAGGAACTCAGAATTAGCAGTCATCTCAGGGGTTACATGTCAAGCTCAGTTTATTAACATCCACATTAGTAATCATTCAGAGGACAGCTCTGAGGATAATGAGACAGTATAAGTCTCTACATATCATCTATATTGTTCAGTCAGTAATAGTGACAGGAGATAAGTGCCAGAGTAGAGATAGATAGACTATCAAACAGAGAACATCAACTCTCCTCGCCCACACGCACTTGTAGATATACATCCCATCTCTCTCTCTCTCATATATATATATATATATATATATATATATATATATATATATATATATATATATATATATATATATTTATATATATATATATATATATATATATATATATATATATATATATATATATAATACCATCCCCCGTCTGTTCACCGTAGACACTTTGTTGTGCTAACAATAACCTTTGACTCAGAGCGCCGAGCTTGCTTTTGTCACAGCATCAAGATGACCCAGTTTACATGTGTCTATTAGTCGATACAAATCCTACGTTTGGTTGTAGAATAATTTCTTGTAGGGTTTAATATCTTTACAAATGGTGTGGTTTATGTAGAGCACAAACTATTTAGTCTGCACAGGGAAAGGTTTAATGTTCGTAACCTAATCTCTGGACATCAAGAACGGCCCAACTCTGTGCGATCACACAGCTGAAACTTCCCTTTATGCAGCAGTGGCCAACTTTAAAAAGACATATTTTATGGTACTCGTAACCTATAATCAACTTACCCAAGCTTAGGAAATGTCCTAGACACCAAAGGCCGCCTCCTAAAAGCATAGATGTACGAGGCACATTTGAGAACATCTGTTCTTCTAGGCAGTCAGGCAGAAAATGTCCGCTTCAAACTACGTTTAGCGCCACTAGGAAAGAAGTCCCCTGTATTCATGCCTAAGAAGTAAAACGGCTTACAGGAATTTCTGAATTAAATACCAGAAATTTTCAACCTACAGTTGCAAGTTTGAAAATGAAGATTTATCAAAGCAACTAGACGGTCTAGAAATGAATATATTACCAGATAAAAGTATATATCAATATAATGGACTATATACCCTTCTGGACGGGTTTAAGTTTGAAATTTGACTGTCCGCGTAGGGAAGTGAGAGTCACGACTCGTCCATCGTGTAGGGTTGGCTGCTCACTTCACGACACGACTCCTGCGATGCGATCAAATAAGAAAGATCCAAATACTGTCTGTCCCTGGGACGAAGTCGTCTACCGGCGAGCCAATGGGCGACCCGGTCGCCGATGTCTGAACCCCACAAAGACCGCCACAGCAAGCGATTACTTACCCGACGACACAAAGTATCACCATCTGGATGTGAATGTCCCCGGGTGCAAGTGCTAGAAACTATGTTTCTGCTTGCTTGTTGCACCCCACCAGGACATCACACAAGCGATAAACACCCGATGACACAATGTGCCAACATGTGTACGAGGATCACCTGTGGAGAGGTCACAGAAACCTCTTTCAGCTGTTATGGCCACAATTGTTGGCTAGCTATATTCGGGGGACCCGGTAAAAGCCAGGGTGGGGCTTCAAATAACGAAAAAGTGTAGTAAAAGTAGTACATTTTACCGCACCAGGACATCACACAAGCGATAAACACCCGATGACACAAAGTGCTATCATGAGGAAGAGGATCACCGTGTTCAGACAAGTGTCCATATTTATGGCCTGCCGCTATTACAGCCCCTGGCAAAAGCATAAAAACGACGAAACACTTATTTGTCTACATTACATTATGAAAAAGAATAAAAATTTGGATTGGATTGGCTTTTTACCCCACCAGGACATCACACAAGCGATAAACACCCGATGACACAAAGTGCCACCATGCGGATGAGGATCACCGTGGAGAGGTC